ACACTTCCTAAAAAAATCTGTATTTTGTTTGTCATATGTTTATTATGGATCTCTGAGTCTCCTGGATAACATCATGGCAGTCTATTACAACAGCCTTTGACACATTTCATAGTAAGAAAGGGCAGAAGAGCTAAATAAAAAAGAATCCATTCTTTCTGGCAGTATATACCATGGAGCTATTTTAAGAAAACATTGCTCCTTTCCAAGCTCAAGTACTCTACTCTTACCTTTACGGACAGACATGTCTTGGAAGGGACCGGGCGGACCTGTGATGGTCTCCTCTGAGATAACATCATCTGAAATTTGTACTGCATAGGTATTTGCCGCATCTCTTTGCTTGGAACGTGGGTATTTTATGGCTTCTTGTGGTGTGTTTCTGGATGAATATGTGAAGGGCTGATCGCCTTTAGAGTGGCCACTTTTAATTGCTGCTTTCTGAACCAGGTGTTGATGATCTCCGGAACTAAAGTTGATTGGCTCACTGACCTCCAAGTCTATTTTCCTGGAAGAGAAGACCTGTCATTCATGTCCTCATGACCACACCCCCATTTCCTTACTATTCTTATTACTTTCAAGTGATCATTTCCTATTTTCCTATATTCCTAATGACTGTGGATTCATGCATTTCACATTAATGAATAATAAATATTTCTTAAATGAATGAGCAAATACTTGTAACATGGATCCTGTTGAACAGCGGTTCTCAACATGTGGGTCACCACCTCTCAACAAACCTCTATCTCCAGGGGTTGGGGATTTAGCTCAGTGGTAGAGCACTTGCCTAGCAAGTGTAAGGCCCTGGGTTCGGTCCTCAGCTCTGGGGGGAAAAAAAACTCTATCTCCAAAAAACATTTACATTATAATTTGTAACAGTATCAAAATTACAGTTATGAAATAACAATGAAAATAATTTTATGACTGGGAGTCATGATAACACAAGGACCTGTATTAAAGGGTCGAAGCATTAGGAAGATTGAGAACCACTGTTGTAGAGAAAAAGAATTTGCCTTCTATTACAGAATCAATGTTTTAATTCATTCAGTAAGGAGTTAAAGGGGCATGTGGAGATTCTATCATTGCTTCTGTCTTCAATTGGCTCACACTGGGGGAAAGAAGATATTCAGATGAACAAGGATATTAAGGCAATATAAGCAAGTCGGGAACATGGGAGGGTGTGAGATACTACATGGTATCCAGAGGAAAGGACTGGGAGTAGATCAGATTTTCAGAGACTCCCAGGGAAAGTGGAGCCTATGGAAAGGCTGGGAGGATTACAGGACTTGGTGAAATAAAGAAGTAGAGAAAGGTTCTCCCAGATAGAGCAGTCAGCCTGGACCAGGACCAAAGGAAGCATGGAAGACAGGTCCCAGAAATTGAAGATGTTCGTATTCCAGAATAGGGAAGTTGGTAGTGTACTGAGACTAAACTATGGTGTTGTGGGATTTTGTCACTTGAAGGTAGAATAATTTAACACTGGCATTGGTTTCTCAATGACATCAATAACGTTAGGAAGAATTATAGGCCCCAATGATTCTACATCCCTCTCCAGGGACCCTGGAAATGTTAGCTTGTTAAAAGAAATACTGCAGATGCACACAAGGACACTGAGATAAGATGGTTCCAGGTTCAATCAAATCCCAACGTTTATTTAAGTTGTTTGTTTTATGATCATACTTAGAAGAGAGGAAGACAGAAAGCACAGACTGAGAAAGGTAAATGAAAGTCAAAATGATACAGATGATGTGGAGATGATTCCAGAAGCAGCTTGGAGCAAAGAGTGTAGGTGGCCTGTAGAATCTGGAAAAGACAGGAGACTTTTCCTCACGAAGTCTCCAGAAAAGAACTCAGCCATGTTGGCACCGTGGTTTTAATCCAATGATCCTGATATGGAACTTCTGACCGCAGAACTGTGAGATCGCGTGTTTGCTATGTTTGTGGCACTAAGTCTGCACAAAGTTGTATTTGCTGTAAGAGAAAACTAATGCAGTCGGCAATCACTGAGGTTTACAGCAAGGGAGCTGGCGATCCAAAGACACCTCTACCTACAGTGTAGAGAAGGAGCAGAGGAAACCATTATGAAAGCAGAGACTGGAAACGGTGGCTGAGGAAGTTGGCGCGGCCGCTGTGCTGGGCAACCAAAATGCCAAGTCTCAGGAACCCACGAGATGGTGAGCCAAGGCAAAGGCAGACTCTCTCATTAATCTCATGGCACGCGTGAAGATTCTTTTCTTCCTTTCTCTCATTTTTTTTTTGTTTCGTTTTGTTGTTGTTGTTGTTGTTGTGGCTGCTGCTGCAACTGCTATTTTTTGAGGCAAGGTTTCTTTGTGTAGCCCTGGCCATCCTGGAACTCACTCTGTAGTCCAGGCTGGCACTGAACTCAGAGATGCACTTGCCTCTGCTTCCCAAGTGCTAGGATTAAAGGCATGTGCTACCACATCCAGCTAAATTGGAAGAGTTCAAGCAAGTCCCCTCTACTGCTGCCTGCATCCTGTGTCACAAAGGACATGACAGAGCAAGAAAAGCAGACTAAGAAGGCCAAGCTAGAATGGTGTAAACAGGAAGTCCAAAAAACTGCCAGGTTCCTGGAGAAGCAGATGCCATTTAATAAAGATGTCCTTTTTCCTCCAATTAATCTCTAAAGTTTACAAGATTCAGTAGGATTTTCTAGTAACAGTAAAGTTCATCAGTGTAAATATATGAGAAAAACCAAGAGCAAATTTGAAAGAGGACTATAAGAGATGCAGTAGTGATTTACTTTAGCAGAAATCAAAATGTATATATACATATATACATATCAGATACATATGATATAAAGCTATATAATTAAAACTATAGTGTCAGCATAGCAATAAATAAATGGATCAATGAGATGGAAGAGATTCAAGGGATAGATTAATGTATATATGAGATTTTAATAGTTGATAAACATGAAACTTCAAATTATGCCCTCTGATGTTGGAATAATTAGTTATGCACTTGGAAAAATAGTTTAATAGTTATTTTATGTGTCACTCAAAGATGAGTTGTAGGTTGTGGCAGTTTGAATGAGGATGCCCCCTACCTCATAGGCTCATATGTTTGAATACTTGATCCCTCGGTGGTGGAACTGTTTGGGGAGGATTAAGAGTTGTGGACTGTAAGGGAAGTGTGTCACTGTGAGTGGGCTTTGAGGCTTCAAAAGACTCTTGCCATTCCCTGTGTTCTCTCTCTGACTCCTACTGTGGATCAGGATTGAGCTCTCAGCTGCTGCTCCAGCTGCAGATCACCATGCCTTTGCTCCACTACCATGGACTCTAACCCTCTGAAACCATAATCCAAACTGAACTCTTTCTTTTGTAAGTTGCTTTGGTTATGGTATTTTGTCACAGAAATAGAAAAGTAACTAGTAAACAGGTGAACTGAAAATAGATGCTCTATTAGCAAATACAAGGACTATTTAGATAAGCATTTATAAGAATAATACCATAAAAAAGAATTGCTTGGCAGACTGGAGGTACAGAACACTTTCAATGTGACTACAAAAAAATCCAACAATTCTGATATGAAAAATGGTAAATACTTTCAATGTTCATTATACTGCAGAAAGGGAAATATTGGCAACTCAATGAAGATGAGAAATGAAAACAAACAACCAATTCATAAAAAAATCTAAATAGCCAGTTACCCTAGGAGATAACACCTCACAAAACAACCAAAGAACTGCAAATAAAGGCAATAGTGAAATGTCTTTTTTTACATAAAAAACATTCAAAGATTAAAAAGATGATTCTCATGGTCATAAGGCTATAAAGAAATAAATAATCCAGAGGCACATTATGACTCTCAAGAACCTACACGTTTCTTCTACTGAGCTCCCTCTTCCACAAAACTGTAAATATATTTAATATAAATAATTATAAACTTAAATTTATTCTTATTTAAAATGATCTTTTTCTTGTTATTGCTAGAAATATTGATATAAACCAGTATGGATTTATTATGTTATCCATTATTATGTTCATAAGTTTTTCTTAATTTTAAGTAAAATTAAAGTATTTTTATTACTCTAAAATGATCATGGGTCCTAAGCATTAAGTCAACTATGTATAGTAGATTATCAGACTTGAGGGACAGCACCTCATAGCAATATAAAGTTTTCAGTTTTGAGAAAATTTAGTGATATCTACCAGAATTCCAAATGTGTAGCGCTTTAGACCCAACAGTTACAGTTGGAGTAATTTATTCCATAAACATGAAGGCAAAGGTGCATGTTAAAGAGGATTCAGTATATCATTCATTACAACTGGCAAAAGTTTCCAACAGCCCGTTATCCACCAGCAGGGAAGCAGTTAAATTAATTTTGATACACACACAAAAATATATGCATATACATGCACCAATGTGAAGTTCACTATGATACAGTTTTGAATTTAGAAAGCAAAATTTGAGAATAGTATTTAGGAAGATTGAATAACTATTTTACCGCCTCTCTGGAAAGACATAATACAAATAGGACTGATCATTATTCTGATACAACTGAGCTGGGAATGTACTTGACTTGAATGAGATTTTACAGTGGCCATTTATTCCAAATAATAATAACAATAATAATATATTTACATTTTGAAGACAAAAAGAAATATTTCCCTCTATGATAGTCTGGAGCTCCTCTGAGAAAGCAATCTTCATGTAAAGCTGAAGGTCACTGAAAGATGCTCAAATAACCAAGCTGGTGTCTATAGTGTCCTAAAAATCAAGAGAGACAGCAAGATTTTTCAAAGCCCTCAAAGACAAGAGCAACCCAAACCCCAAAGCACTGAGTTTTCCTCAAGGAACTCTGTTTGCTTGGTCCCTGAAACACAAATGAGGTTTTCACCGGGTCCTCACAAAGCTCTCCTGACTCCTGAGGCAGCAGCCATCCGAACAGGCAGGCGGTGGGAAGACTGAGAAGCAAGGCTCTGGGTGACAGTTAAGAGAGTGGCAGTTGGAGCTTGGGGTGGGTGGAACCTTCCCATCAGGAAGTCAAGCCCACTCTATCTATCCCCATGCTAGCCGATGCACTCTGTTGGGTCTCAACGAGACCTACACTCCGGTATTCAAGCCAACTCCATGTCATGGAGCAAGAGGCTCCATCCATGAGGAAGCTGTCCATCACTTTCCTCTCAGCAAGAGGAAGATGCTCACAAAACTCCAGGGGTCCTGCACCATTATTTCAGATGAGTAAGGCTCATTTCCAGCGAAGTATGAACTGGTCCTTCTGGTAGACCATGATGACTTTCTGTCCCTCCCCCATGATGAGAGGTTGTTACCTACAGGTCACAGATCAATGGGAAGCCCTAGATCAGGCTGTTTGGTGAGAGAAGACATGTGATCAGGTGAGCAGCTTCTCTAGGATTTGTAGGGGAGGAGGGGAAACTTGTCCTCTCTGGAGTTTTTTGTTTTGTTTTGTTTTGTTTTCTTTACTAACTCATTCACTAAACTTAGTGTCTGTTTACTGTGTACAGAGAGTGAGGAAGGGAAAGAAATACAGAAAAGATATATCCCTTTCCTGTGTATAGGGAGACAGTGTGCACGGTGTACTTGTAAGGGAGAAAGAGGGAAAAGTTGTAAGAAAGAACAGCCACTTACAATCATGGAGGTGGAGATGACATGTTGGCTGCTTCTTAGAAAGATGGTGTTAGGGGCTGGAAAGATGGCTCAGCTGTTTAAGGCGAGGCTCACAACCAAAAATATAAGAAAGATGGTGTTAGATATGAGGATTGGGAGGAAGTACAACGCGGGCAATGAGAACTGGGAAGCAAGAATGTTACACAGCGTTGTCTGGTGCTCAGGTCACAGCACAGGAAGTCCAGAAGGCCTGCCTACAGCAGGGGACATAGGCTGACCACCCCTCCCCAACCCTGGCCACAAAGAAATGTCAGTGAGAATACGTGCCTCTGTTGTCTTCTTTGGAACCTCACAGTCTCACAGATCCTGCCCATTACCTCTGTGCAGTCCCCATTCTCTCTGGTGTGTTGGTGTAAACAGTCAACCCCAGTTAATTATATCTTTTTCCCTCCAGAATGCAGTTAATATGATTTATTTGTTTACATGTCAGGATTATAACTAATGAATTAACTACAGTTTGATCAAAATCCTTTCTCTTCTCATCAACCTCATAGTCTACACAGGTATTTTCTTACATGTAGCCGTGGTTTGCATTCTTACATGTACTAGTCATTTAAGAACATCAACTGTGTGATTTATGGCCTCAGTTACTTTGCATTTGGCAGGTGAGTAAACCAACTAGAAATTTAATTGCAGAGTCCCACCCCTTTAACATAAAGGGCGAGGATGCACATGGCCTGTGGATCTGCTGCGGCCTATAATCATCAGGGAACAAAACGTGATCATCTTTTTAAAACCAGCCTGTGATGTGTTTTTTTTTCCTTTTATTTTATTTTACAATACCATTCAGTTCTACATATCAGCCACGGGTTCCCCTGTTCTCCTCCTCCCACCCCCCCTTCCCCCCAGCCCACCCCCTATTCCCCCCTCCTCCAGGGCAAAGCCTCCCCTGAGGACTGAGATCAACCTGGTAGACTCTGTCCTGTGATGTGTTTTATACATACATCTGCTCTATTTTTTCATCTTGAGAGTTTTAACTAGTGACCTATGCAACACATAAATCATGTAAAATGTAAAATCCTGCAAATGATACCACACACTGAAACTAATAGCCACCTAAGGAAGTTGGCTTAGTTTTTTTCCTGTTAGTGTGAAATTTTAAGGCCTTGAGAAGCATTTACTTCTGTTTTAACAGTTTATGTACACACAGCATCACCAAAATTTTCTTACACATCTCATATGTACTAATTGTCTGTATGGTCTAGTTGAACTTCTGCTTACTCCAGACTGAGTATCTCTCATTGTGTGCTATGGTTTAAATATTTCCCCAATTTATATGTTGAAACTTAATTGCCAGTATAATAGAACGTATTATGCAAGCAACTGAGAGATGGATGCATTCAATAATCCTATCCAGTTGTAATGCCTACAAACCTCAACAATGATCAGAATGCCAAAGTGTCACTAAATGTGCAATAGTGGCATTCACATTTTGGTGGAACCAACAGCTGTCTAATTGGACTTAAGACACTCAACAGAAGAGAAATCTCTCTTGGTACTAGAGACCTAGTCAGCCACCCAGGCCTAGTGAAGTCATGGATCTTAAATGAGGTCCTAGTACTGCCACTTGACCAGATCAGCATAATTTCTAACTACATTATAAAAGATCTTTATAGCCACAAGTAAGTGTAATCACCCCTCATCAAAGAAGCTTCTCTTTACAGGAACTAGAGACATTACAGAAAACCACAACTAAATACATTGCAGAGATCAACGATCGTGGAGGGATCAATCCCATTGGAAACATCTACAACACAAAAATCCTGCACCAAAGGCTCATGAAACAACATGGAAGAGGGGAAAGATTGTAAGAGCCAGAGGGCCAGGAAGTCTGATGTGAGACTGTGTCTCCTAGAAATGACTGCATAAGCAAGACCTAAACAATAGCAATATCAATAGCCATGTTAATGTGAAAAGGGGGAAATCTCATGGAGTCCAACCCCCTGACAAATATCTATAGTTACTAGTGACTACTGAGAGAGAGAGAGAGAGAGAGAGAGAGAGAGAGAGAGAGAGAGAGAAAATTAGACTTTTCAGGGATGAGCCCCCCAATTGTTTATCAAATACAAACTGGTCAGCCCTGAAATTGTACAGACAAAAACAACAGAAGCAGACTCAGCAGGCTGAATTTATATGTTTGTGCATATATGTATGCATAATTCATTGTTACATATGCAATTTATATGTAACAATCAAAGAAGAGGCCATCAATCTGGGATGGAGTCAGGAGGGTACTTGGGAGGGGTTGGAGGGAAGAAATGGAAGGGAGAAGTGATATAACTGTATTTTAATTAAAAATATATTTAAAGAAAAAAAAATAACATTTTTAAAAGGTGGACCGTTTAGACAAGAATAGTCAAGGAGGATGAAATCCTGGGGAATGGGACTCAGCAATCAGAGCTGTGAAAAATGTCTGTTCCTCATAAACAATGTCTCCAGTAATTTGTTACAGCAGCACAAATGGATTAAGACATGTGTTTGTCTGAGATACCTCCCCCAGACACCTCAAGGAGCCTTGGCCCCCTGTGGCTCACAGTCTTCCTGAAGTCCCCCTGAGGGAGGAGAAGACTAGTGAGAGCCTTCATAGGGTGTTGCTTCCTTCTCTCGGCTCTTGAGTTGATCCCCCACATCTTCTTTGCTTACTGATTTCTGTTGGTCCTTGCAGCCAATGCTGCTATACTCCGAGGCAGTGGTTCCCAGCCTTCCTAATGCCGAGACCCTTTAACACAGTTCCTCATGTTGTGGTGACCCCAACCATAAAATTATTTTTGTTGCTACTTCCTAACTGTCATTTTGCATTGCTATGAATTGTAATGTAAATATCTGTGTTTTCCAATGGTCTTAGGTGACCCCTGTGAAAAGTTCACTGGATCTCCAAAGGTCACAACCCACAGGTAGAGAACCACTGCTCTAAGGTATCTGCAGAGGAGTTGCTGCTGCGTGAGGAAGCTACTTGTTGAGTTAGCTCTGTGTGCCACGCAGTCACTGATGGTATTAAGCTGGGCAATAGCATCCTCACTGTTTGGGTGGGAGCTCCACCTCAACCCCTGGCACCCTGGCATCCCTATACCCAAAGAGTCTGGAATGTTCTGGTGGAAAATCCACCTCAACTTCCCCCAACCCGGCCCTTCAAAGCCCTCCAAACACAGCTCCTCCCCCAGAGAGGCTCAAGACCACTCCCACAGGGTATATAAGCTGCACCCCAGAAAACAGACACGTGGTTCTTCTGGTCTCTCATCCCCATCTCCTCTCTGTGGAGCCAGGAGTCACCCAGGAACGCTTTACCCATTAAACCAGGCCTTTTCCTAATTTGGTCTGATTTGTATTACTGCATCGGTGGAGAGGCCTATCAGCATGCAAAGAAACTTACCACTCACTATAAAGGAACAGCTCAGGAAGGAGGTACCACTGCCAACTCCTGAATGAGACGTTGTCCATGGTGAACCCTGCCTCCTGGTGGGAGAAGATTTGAGGGTGAAAAATATTTTTTTCATTTGATACTTTCACTTTTCTTTTATTGGTGTGTATGTGCACATGTGAAGATATGTATGCATGCTTGTATGTATGTGGTGCATGTTTGTGTTATGGGTACAAATGCACAAGCATGCATTGTGTGTGTGTGTGTGTGTGTGTGTGTGTTCATAAGTGTACACTCACATTTGGGGACCAGAGGTTAACTTCTGGTTTCATTCCTCAGGAGCTGCTCCCCTTATTGGTGAGACAGGGTCTCCCTGTGGGGTCTGGGGCTCACTGAAGTGGCCAGGCTGGCTGGTCAGTGAGCCCCAGGGATGTTCCCATGGCCACTGCACTGCACTGGGATTACAAGCATGCACCATACCGTCCAACTTCCCGTCCCCTGTGGGTGCAGCCAGCACTGTACTGACTGGACTATCTCCCCAACAACTCTTTCCATTGTTTCCAAAGGAAAACAATGCATGTGTGTGTTGACAAAGAAAAAATGTGAAACAATAGAAAAGGTATTTAAAAAAAAAAAGTCCACTTCCATGACCAGCTGTGTTGACACCAATTGTGAATGGTGAATAATTGTTACAGTCTAAATACCAAGAGCCGTATGCAAGACCATCAAAGGAGACCTACTATTGTTATTTTGCTTAAAGTCATGTTGTCAAACTGCCTTATAAATATTTATGTGTACACACATAGGTTTGTGATGTTCTCAACCTTGGTCAGAGAAGCTTCTGTTTGCAGAGGGCAGCAGTCAATGCAGAGACTCATGACTAGTTAACCTGCTGAAAATAAGTGACAATGTTTATATATACATATATATGTTTTATTATATATCTATATATCTATAACTATATAGCTATATCTATCTATATCTATATATCTATATCTATATATAAAATCCTCCAGACTAAGGCTTAGAGAACACAAAAAAGAGAAGGCAGAAAGAATATGAAGGCCAAAGGATGAGAAAGAGGGCTGTGAAATGTGATCTCCTGCCCATGACATGGTTGTTACAGTCATGAACTCACAGGAGCTATGGTTACCTGCACAAGATCAAGCCAGTCAACATTCCAGCACAGACAGGAGTGGGGTCCATGAGCCCACTCCTAGCTGAGGAACTATTGGCAGTTGACAGCTGCTGAGAAAGGAGGACATTTTTCTTTGGAGGTATACTCATTGGTAGGATGCTTATACACCCTTGCACATATGAACAGCACTAACTGAACTAAGAGGGAAGGAGGCGGGGGAGGGGGGAGAGAGGTTTTCCTAAAATTGTGCTGTGCTTAAATATGGCTAAAATAAACCGCCCAAGGTCAGACTCTAGAAATTTGAGCCAATGCTGACCAAAATCCAGTCATGTTAACTGGATTTCCTTCTTGCATTCACGGAACCTGCATGGGTTTTACATATTTGTTGTGGTTCTTTAGCTTGGGATTTCTGTAGGACTCCTAACAGTGGGAATGGGGGTGTCTCTGACTCTTTTGCCTGCTCTTGGGACCCTTTTCCTCCTACTGGGTTGCCTTGCCCAGCCTTGATATGAGGGTTTATGCCTAGTCTTATTGTAACTTGTTATGCTTTGTTCATTTGATATCTCTGGGAGGCCTGGTCTTTTCTGAAGGAGAATGGAGGAGCAGTGGATCTTGGGGAGAGGGGAGGTAAGACAGGAATTGGGAGCAGGGGAGGAAGAGGAGGCTATAGTCGGGATGTATTGTGTGAGAGAAGAATAAATAGAAAAACAAAAGAAATGACTGTCTATAAAGTCAGGTGTGAGTAGTGGGAAATAAACCACAGAATTAAAACTCCAACCTCCTGCTGAGCCCCTGGGCAATCTGTTGGCAGGCCACAGACCCTCTATGTCCTCTGCAGAGCATCACCCTTTTATCTACTATTAGAACCACTGTACCATTTACTCCAAGGACTTTCTAAAATTCCACACTGGAGTCATCTCTCAATGCTTAGCATAAACCTCGGGTTTCCAAATCGTGTTGGTATCTGCAGTCTTATCACTAGTTTCTGAGAAAACACACGAAAGCATGTCCCCTTTTAAAGTCAAAGCCGCAATGACACATTGTGTTAGATGAGGTGGCCCACACCTGTGATCTCAGTACTTAGGAGGCTGTGATGGAATCTCTGCAAGCGTGAGGCCAGTCTGGACAGCCCAGGATAGAGTGAGATCTTGTCCCCCACCCTATCCCCAACCCCCCCTCCCCCGAAAAACAGGCCGGGGAAATGACTCAGTCAGGAAAGTGCTTGCCATGAAAGCTTGAGGGCTTGAATCTGAACTCCCAGCGTCCACGTAAAAGGCCAGACATGGTGACTAGGACCTGGAGTAACTTGGACGGGAGGGTTCCTGGGGCTTGCTGGTTACGCCAGTCTAGGCTAAATGGTGAGCCCCAAGTTCTGGGAAAGACTGTCAAACAAGTAAAAAGGTGGAAAGTAACTGAGAAAGCCCCCCCCCCCCACCATGTCAACCTCTAGCCTCCACACGTGATCATATACGCACACGTATGTGGTCATACACATATGAACTGTATACATACACCACACACAAAACAACAAAACACCACCAAAAATGCAGTTGGTCAACTCAATAAAAACTTTATTTACCTGAAACCAGTACTGATGACTTCCCTCTTTCTTTGGGCTCCTTTCCCAGGGAACTTTAGACTTCCACAATCATAGCCATGTTCAGGCTTATTCTCTCAAAGTCTCTTTTCCAGCTGAAGGGCATATTATATCTGGTTTTGCTAACGACTCTCCCAGAGAATTGCTAGTTTTGCAATGATTCAAATCCAGATTTATGTGTCCAGTTCCTCAAACCAAAGCTCACAGAAAAAAAAATTATTACAGCAATTACTCCTAATTAAAGCTGTATTCAATGCTATCTCCAGTAATGGTCTTGGAAACATTTATGCTAGTGTACATTATTTTAAATGTTAGGAAGGTGTGATATGTTGCTTGTTCATTATGCAAATAAGTACGTAAAGCCTATGCTAAGCCATAGAAGATACAAATGTCCCAGCTCTGGACCCGACTGTGTCATACAAAGCTGTAATAATTTTTAGTTATACTATTGTAACTTATGAGAAAAATTGATAGTACTTCTGACATTGCTAATTTCTAATCCAAATGACCTACCAACTCACAGACCCCTCACATACAATATTCAGTGAACAGCAGTACTACATTGGCCCAAGAAAAATAAGTCACTCACAAGTTAATCTCACGAATCCAAGTCGGTATTTCTGCCCCTTCCTGTTTGAATGTTCTTAATACGGGAATTTCTTAGACCCTCAATTCTTTTGGGGGTTCGAGAGCACTGTATTCAAAAGTTAAGTACGTGAAGTGATCATGTTAAGTTTCACAGATCGAGTAGGTGCTAATACTGACCGGCTCTAGTCTTAGCCTTTTCTCCAGCCCTAACACACCTAGCTTTTTTCCGTGGGTACTGGGGATCAAACTCAGGCCCACAAGCTTGCTCCAGAAATCTGCCTATCCAGTCACTTCCCTAGCCTCCAAAG